TTGGAAGGGACCTTAAGGATCGTCTTGTTCCAACTCCCTGCCATGGGCAGGGACACCTCCCACTATCTCAGGTTGCTCCAAGCCTTGTCCAGCCTGGCCTTGGACACTTCCAGGGATGGGGCAGCCGCAGCTTCTCTGGGCAACCTCTGCCAGGGCCTCCCCACCCTCACAGCCAACAATTTCTTCTTAATATCCCGTCTAAACCTACTTTCTTTCAGTTTGAAGCCATTCCCTCTTGTCCTGTCCCTCCATCTCTTTTCCAAAGTCCCTCTCCAGCTCTCTTGGAGCCCCTTTAGGTACTGGGAGGGGCTGCAAGGGCTCCCTGGATCCTTCTCTTCTCCAGTTGAACACTCTCCCAGCCTGTCTCCAGAGCAGAGGGGTTCTAACACTGGGAGCATCTCCGTGGCCTCCTCTGGACTCAATCCAACAGCTCCACATCTTTGTGCTGTTGTTCCCCAGGGCTTGGAGGCAGCTCTGCAGGTGGGGTGTCACCCGAGGGAGTAGAGGGGCAGAATCCCCCCCTCCCCTGCTGCCCACGCTGTGGGATGAACCCACATTACATTTGCCTTTCAGGACCAACCTCCCTTATCCTCTCCAGGAGCGTCACACCGTTCAGTAGCTCTGTCACAATGTTCAGTAGCTCCGTAATCTCCCTTTTTTTTATTTATTTTTGGTGCCTGGGGTCAGGTTTCCAGTGGCTCCCTCAGTGCCTTGGGCTGACGTCTCCTCTTGGCCGGCTCTGCCCGGGGCCTGACGTCATCCCACAGCCGTGTGTCACCCCTGGAACAGGATCCACGGGGTCCATGTGTGTGTCAAGGTTATTCCATCAGAGTTTGGCCAAGAGCTGCCTGCCAGGGAGAACAGCTCCAGCCTGGACACCCTGACACATCCTCCCTGCCAGGGAACACCGGGAGGGACGCAGCGTCCCCAGCTGGGGCTCTCCAAACCAGAGGAGTTGCCAGCAGGGGATGTGTGATGGATTTGGGCTGTTCAGCAACCCAGGCTGCAGGAATTGTGGTTGAGCTGAGAGTTACCCCTTAGTTGGGGCAGCTCAAGCGCTCCCAAATGTGGGGATCCAATGGAGTTTCCACTTGGCAGCACTAGGGCATCAGGGAATAAGGCTTTCCCAAGGGCAAAGTGGCACATGCTTCCTCTTTTGGATGCCCAAGGAAGGCTCTTGCTTTCCCCTCAAGCTCTTCTTGGTAGAGTTGGAAAAAGTAGAGGAGCTTCCCAAAACATAAGCCCTTCTCCAGGTCTGAAGCAGAAACTGTGGGGTTTGGAGCCAAATGTGAGTTGAGAACTTGGTGCTCAGAGCGTTGGTGTGGACCATGTGCCCGAGGATGTGGTTGGGTATCTTCAAGATCCTGTGTCCTAGAGAGTACCTGATTTTCTTGGAAAGAAAAAAGCTCTGGATTCTTTGGTTTAGCTCCATGGAGGAGCATCCCGTGGCACCTCAGCAGCTGTGCAGCCTCCAGAAGCCCTTTGGGAGATCTGGGATTTAGTTCTGGCCTCTCTCTCTCTCTCCTCCCTCTCTCCCATGTTCTTTGAAGCTCACCGGGGGAATTTCCAGACAAACTCCGTGACTTTCTTATCTTCCTTATCGCTGTGACATTCTATTAATAACTAATTTATAGGAACTACTGCTTTCTATAAACATATTTTTGACTTTTGTGTGAGCAACAGGTGCTGCTGTTTATGTAACACCTTGGAAACCTCACAGAGGAACAGCAGCTGGCTGTTCCCTTAATACCATTTTGTGAATGTTCCTCCTTTTTTTTTTTTTAACATTCCCTCTTTTCCCTTTCCCTGTGCTTTAATCTCCTTACAAACCCCCAAAATTCCTGCTATCCCAGATTATTGCTGTCCACTGGAACACATTTTTGCTTTATGCTAATCCTTTGCACTGCCACTAATTGGTTTAAACCTTGTCCTTCAGGTTGGGTTTTGGGACTTAGAAAAGCTGCTTACCCAGCTTCAGAGCCCTCTCCCTGCCTATCCCAAACTTCCAGGCATTTCAAAATCAAGGAGAAGGGAATGATGTGATATTCCTGGCTGCTGCTGCTCTCACGAGGACGGGGTTTTTTTCCCTTTTTTTTTAAGGTGTGGGACAACTCCTACTTTCTGCCAGGTTTTGATTGGCTTTCCGAAGAGGCAGTGTCCTATAAATTCCCTTCTCCTCTCTGCTTCTGCCTTATCACCAGCTGAGGGACAGGTGAGTACAGAGGAGGGAAAATTCCAGCAGCAATTCCATTGCTTAATCCATGATATTGGCGTCAGTTATTAATTTAAATTAAGGGGGTGGGGGGAATGACTTTGATGTTTCAGAATGAAAAATTCCTCGTTTTACTGGCAGTTTCTGACATCAGTTTGAATGAATGAGTAAAATCAGAGATTAAAGTATTCAGAAGGTAATATGAGGGGAGGAATATTTTATGGAATCATGGAATGGTTTGGGTTGGAAGGGACCTTAATGCTCATTCTGTTCCAACCCCTTGTGCCATGGGCAGGGTCAGCTTCCACTGTAAATGATGTTTATATTTTATATATATTTTTTTCTCTTCAATTTGTAATGGAACAGAAGTTTTCCTCCTTATGAAGAAAGGGAAGCCTATAAAAAAATTTAATATTTTACATCAGTTAAATGAATATTTTTTGTGTTCAGAACTATTAATTAGTCCTAGAATTCATTTAAAACAGGAAACTTGGATTTGGCAGAATGGGCTTTTCTGTCTGAGTTGCTTTTGCAAGTTAATTACTGTGCTGCAGCTGACTTTACCTCTTTGGGCAAGTATTTTTAAGGCATAATGTTAATTTCTTTATGTATCTTTACATTTATTGGCAAGTTTAAAATTTAATAATCACACCTCTTTTTCCCCCCCTTCCTGTTTGAAATAGAAATAAATGCCATTGGTGGATTTTTTTCACTTCTAGGCTGTTTCAGTGTCTGGTGTAAAATGAATTTACTGTTCTTTTGAGTCAGCCTAGACCTGTAATTCTCAGCTTGAGCCTTTGTGGCTTCACTCCAGGTGCATTTGGAAAAAACAGTCCAGTCAGTGGGGAACCAATTTGTTCCCAGCGTGGCATTTTTAGTAAAAACTAAAGTTAGTTTGTGCTTTGTTTATAGAGCTCAAAATGTCAAAATGACTTTTCAGGTACTTTTAGTGGGAATTTTCCATGACAGAGACCAGTGAGTCTCTGTCAGTGCTGTAGGATTTTATTTTCCCATTGTGAAGCAGGAAGGGATTATCATGAGATCCAGTTGTCCAGATGGATTTTGAACATTTCCAAGGATGGAGGCTCCCATCACCTCTCTGGACATCTCAGACTAAGTCTCCTTGATCAGTTTAATTATATTTTTAATATGCCCTTTTTATGTGTCTGTGCTATTAGACAATAGGTAGTTTAGCAAATTCTTTCGTATTTAAATAGCAAAACTCCCTCAAGTACCAGAAAATTCTCAGCCTGGTGAGCTCAGGAGTGAAAGGAACACCCATATTCATTGCTTGCTCGTTTTTCTCTGCATGGTAAATTTGGAATTAAATTAACTGCTGCAGTTTCTGGTTGTGATCTTTCTTCTTCCTGATTCCCTCTTTTAGAATATCAGGAATTCCCAAATAAAGGAATTGACAGGGTAATCTCATCAGGGTGGTCTGAAATGTGCTTTAATCTGGGAATTTGCTTATTATTTGATATTTGGGAATGAGTTAAAAGCTGTTGAGAGGGGATAAGGAAGAATTTAAGTGATTAAGCCTTGAGAATTGTATTTGAAAGAAGTAAACTGGGACCTCAGAAACCACCAGTTGTGGCTGCAAGTGTGATTTATTTGGGGTACTTTTCATTTCCTTCCCAAATGTGAAAGATTTGGAGAGGAAAAAACCCAAACTTAAGTGTAACACAGAGTAACTTATTAATATGTGAAATAATTAGGATGTTTTTGTGAGTCCTGGCTAAATAGTGCCACTCCTTTGTTTGCTTTCTGGGTCCCATCCATCAGGAGTGTTACGTTGGAGTAAATCTCTCTTTTTTAAAGGAGATTTCCTGCTGCCTCTGGCTCAGCAGCTCTTACTGATGCAATTTTGAGCAAGTTTACTAATTCATGGCAGCCTGCAAACCCTTCACTCCGAAGTGGAATCACAGCAGCTTTGTTGAATTCTGTGTTTGTGCTTGAAATCGCGGTTTATATTGATTTGTTTTTTTTTTTTTTTAAAAAGGCTTAAACTTGAACCGTGTTCTTACTGTTGATTTTCCTGAACTGTGCATATTTTCACGAGCTCCCTCCAGGGAATACATTACCTCTACTCATGTTACTTCCCAGGCAGCTCATCATCCAGCCCTTGGATTGCATCGAATTCCTGGGGATTTTTCTCAGGGAGCGTTTAAAAGCCTTTGAAGTCACCCGTGACTCATCTTTTCTCTTGTGCCCGCAGCAGGTTTGAAAGGGGAAGATGCCAGTTGTCAGGAACCTGGGCAGGGCTGCCAGCCAGCTGCTCCAGAGCTGGGGCTGTGGGTGTGGGGTTTCCATCGTGCCCGTTCGGTGCATCGGGGTCTCCCCGCGCCAAGTGGCCTCGGACGCGAGTTTCCACTCCGTCACCTTTTCCGAGTCGGATCATCCTCGGGTGCTCATCACAGGTAATTCCTGTCATAGCTACTCCTGCTCCACTCCCCTCCTGCCTCCCCAGTGGGCAGAATTCTGGCAGCAAAAATACTCTGGAATTGGGATGATCTTTCCCGTCGGAGTCCCGTTTGAACTGTCCCGCTGTTTCAGCTCCGTAACTCTACTAAAACCAGTTAGTTTGGCTTTCCTCAAGAAAAATGATAAAAGCTTTCTGACTCACTGAGAAAAATAGTGCTGATTTCTGATGTCAGACGTACAATAATAATGAAATTCTGTCTTTTAATAATCTCCTCTGATTTTTGTCTCCCAGGTGGTCTTGGCCAGCTCGGGGTGGGACTTGCAAAGCTGCTGAGGTATGTCCTGATTCCTTGATATGTCATGATTCCCTGGCTTGCTGTTAGTGAGGAATTCAAGCTTTAGCCATTAGTTTTAGAAGTGATAATTTTCTGGAGAGTTGTTTATAAAAGAATCCCACTGTCGATTGCAGGTTCTTTTTTTGCCTCTCAGCTTTGTAAACGACATTAATGGTTGGACCTGATGATTTAAAGGTCTTTTCCAGCCCTAATGATGCTGTGATTCTTAATGATTCTATGATTAAATTTTCCCCATCATTTTATATTCCACTCCTGTGCTTGTTTGAGGTTGCTGACGTCCTTTCTGTGTGTACATTGGTCACCATTCCCAAAATAACATAATTTTGTCCCGGGGGCTGGCTGCTGAGTTGTTTGCTTCCAGTTAAATGGAAGTATTGAGAGGCTAAATCCTCAGAGTTTTCCTTTTCTCTTTTTGCTTTTCCTGTTCCCCCACCCCACACACACAGTTACCTCATGTTTTCTGTGATATCTTTTCAAGAAGTGCTCCAAGAGCTCTTCCTGATCCATATCCATGTCCTTATCCACACCTGCTCAGCTCCAGGGAATCTGGACTAAGACCAGAAGTGAGCAGACTCACTGCCCTCAACACTGTTGCAGTTTGAATGTTTTCTGCCATTTCTATGGTATATTTAAAAATCATCCAACTAATGGGAGGCTGGAATGTGCTCCAGTGCCATCAGCTGTGACAGCCTTGGGTTAATTATCACAAAGTCACAATTTCTCTGTTTTATTTACTTTGTTGATACAAAAGTAGCTGCAGTTACAGCAACCCAGTGGCTTTTTGTTATTTGCAGGGGAGTAAATTATCTCTGGGTAAAATTTTCTGTAAGGAAAGGGCAGGAGGGTCTTTTTCTTAACATATTTTCACTTCCTAAAAGACTTCTCTATCCTTGCACAGCCCTTCACTGCTACTAGGAGTAGTTCACTCATTTTCTAAGATGTTATATTGACATTTAAAGGTTCAGTGGGGTTTTTTGAAGTGCAATAACTGATATAATTGCTGAAATTATTGTTCTTCTCACGTTGCTCCTGCGAAACAAAATAGCAGCAACTGATGGGTTATCTCAAAAGGCTGTGGACTCACTGTTCCATGTGGGTATTTTTACACAGGAAACGCTTTGGAAAGAACAATGTGATCTTGTCTGACATTAGAAAGCCTGCAGATAATGTTTTTTATAGTGGTAAGTGACTGGGGAAGCACATGGAAAAAAAACATCTTGACTTTACCTCTGATGTTCATTGACTAATTACCAAACTGATAAGTGGATTGCACTAACAAGCTGCTGTTCTAAACTCCTGGATAATGCCTTCCTGCTTGGAAATCTTGCAATTGATTGATTTCTTCTGTTATTCCCTTTTCCTAAATACTTTTCTTTGCATTTTTGCACTGTTGCTTTGCCACTTCGTTGAGCAGAATAACAACTCGAGTCAGGCTGTGCTCCTGCTGTAAAAAGAGATGCTTTTATTCTTTTGAAGGGACCAAGCTGGAAATTAAATGTGTGGTGTGTTATTCCATGTTCAGGGAATTTTTATGACGAGATGGATGTACAGTAGGACTTTAGATTCTTTGATTTTCATTAGAAACTTGCATAAGCTGCTGTTTAGTGAATGTATTTAGGTGGTAGAAGCAGCAGTCTGAGTTTCAGGCAGAACTTTTCCCAGCATCCCTTCCTGGCACTGAGTTTCCCACTGGTTCCATTCCCTCCAGGTCCCTTTATCTTCGCGGATATCTTGGACTACAAGAATTTGCGGGAGATCGTGGTGAACAACAGGATAACTTGGCTGTTCCACTACAGTGCTTTGCTCAGCGCTGTTGGAGAAGCAAATGTCCCTTTGGCCAGAGCTGTGAACATCACTGGTAGGTGACAGGGATTCCACGTCCCTGGAACTGTGTCAGGGGAGGTTTAGGCTGGATATCAGGATATCTTCCCCAAGAAGGGTGGTTGAGCACTGAACAGACTTCCCAGGGAATGGTCATAGCCTTAAACCTGCCAGAGCTCCAGGAGTGTTTGGATAACACTCTCAGGGACAGGGTGGGATTGCTGGGGTGTTCTGGCATGGCCAGGAGTTGGACTTGATGATCCTTGTGGGTCCCTCCCAACTCAGGATATTCTATAATTCCTATAATGAAGAAGTGGAGAGCATGTTCTGATAAATCCTGTTGGGTGTTTTCCCAGGTTTGCACAATGTTCTGGATATTGCAGCTGAGCATAATCTGAGGCTCTTCATTCCAAGCACGATTGGGGCCTTTGGACCCACCTCTCCTCGAGACCCAGCTCCTGATCTCTGCATTCAGAGACCAAGGACAATCTATGGAGTCTCCAAGGTCCACGCTGAGCTCATGGGAGAAGTGAGAATTTTTTATTTTATTCATTTCTTAAAAGTTCTGAGAGAACTTCACTGGCACAGGTTGCCCAGAGAAGCTGTGGCTGCCCCACCCCTGGAAGTGTCCAAGGCCAGGTTGGACAGGGCTTGGAGCAACCTGGGATAGGGGGAAGGTGTCCCTGCCCATGGCAAGGGGTTGGAATGAGATGGTCTTTAAGGTCCCTTCCAACCCAAACCATTCCCTGATTCTATGATTCTAACTTCATTCCTTTTGTAAGATTCCTCACTGCAACATTATTTTCCCTATTCTTTCCTTCCTTCAGGTTTTAGTACTCAGCAGTAGTCTGAGGCAGCTTTTAAGGTCAAATATCTTTTGAGTTTTGTTGGGAAAAGCCCAAAGAATTGGAAACTGGGAAACATCTGACTTCCAGTATTATTTCTTTCCCTGGTTCTTTTGACTTTGGCCTCTCTGCCTCATCTGGAATTGGATAAAGGACAGTGTACAAAGCCTTGTGAAAGCAGGGGCAGTAATGGCTTTTGCCCCTCCTCTCCAAAAAAAGACTTTAAAGTCAAAGCCATTGGTATCTGTACATGCGCAACTTCTCTTTTGGCTTTGTAGTGATTTATAAATAACATTTTTAAAGCTGATATTTTTAGATACAGATTCCTCACATAGATCTGAAGACTGAATTAGCCTGAAAAATGTCGCAAACTTAGGAGTTTTAAGTTTCTGAACACCAAATGTAGACCCTGCATTAGCAGCTAATCCATATCAAGAACCCATATTTACTGATGGGGATGTAAAAAAAGGGCAGGAAGGGAGTTCAGCTGCCTGGCAGGGAATGGGGGCTGTTTAGTCCCTTTTTTCTTTCATCCCCATCATGGAATGGTTACAGCGTGAGGGTTCATCCTGAGGGAGATTTTTCCTGTGAAATCAGTGAGTGTGTGGCCTGCTCTTGGTGTGTAAAACTGTTCCTCTCCTCCCTCCCTCCCTCCCTCCCCAGTACTACCATTACCGGTACGGCCTGGACTTCCGCTGCCTCAGGTACCCAGGGATTATATCTGCTGACTCCCAGCCTGGAGGGGGGACAACTGGTGAGTGGATTGTGCATTATGAGAAGGCTGGAAAGGGACTTTCCAAAAGGGACTGCAGTGCCAGGAGGAGGGGGAATGGCTTCTCACTGCCAGAGGGCAGATTTAGATGGGATTTTGGGAAGGAATTCTTCCCTGTGAGAGTGGTGAGGCCCTGGCACAGGTTGCCCAGAGAAGCTGTGGCTGCCCCTGGATCCCTGGAAGTGTCCAAGGCCAGGTTGGAGCAACCTGGTCTGGTGAGTGGCATCCCTTCCAATGGCAGGGGTCGAAACAAGATGATCTTTAAGCTCCTTTCCAACCCAAACCATTCAATGATTTATGATAAATAACACACAGTCCTGCTGCCGGATTTCAGACAGGAGGCTTTGGGTGTGGTCTGAGGGTTGTTGCCTGTCATGACACACACAACAGATCGACCCACATGAACACACCCACCCATCATTCTCCTCCACAGATTATGCTGTCAAGATTTTCCATGATGCCATAAAGACTGGCAAGTTTAAGTGTTACCTCAGGCCAGACACCCGTCTGCCTATGATGTACATCGATGACTGTCTGAAGGCAACGCTGGAGGTCATGGAGGCCCCTGCAGAATCACTGACCATGAGGACCTACAACATCAATGCCATGAGCTTCAGTCCCGAGGAGCTGGCACAGGAGGTGCAGAAGTATGTTCCTGAGCTCCAGGTGACCTACAAGGTGGATCAAGTCAGGCAGGCCATAGGTTAGTATCTTCTCAGGCAGCAGGTAAGAAGAAACATCAAATCAAGGGCAAAATAAAGTTTCTTTAGGCACTTGCAAATTACCCCTGTGCAGTTCACGTCTTATGGTTTGAAATTCAGCTTCAGCAGTTCAAACCAGTGATGAAACACTTGAAAGTTTAAAGGAATTTTTCTTAAACTTCGTGTTTCTTGGTTCTTTTCCTGTTCCCTGCAGCTGACAGCTGGCCCATGAACTTCGACGACAGCAACGCCCGGAGGGATTGGGGTTGGAAACACGATTATGATCTCCCTGAGCTGGTGACCACCATGTTTAGTTACCTTGGGTCTGACTCCAGGATTGCCCAAGCTAACTGAAAATACTTTCAGACGTTTCCAGATTTCCACAGAGGACCAGGAAGAAATGGCTAAGTTTAGGTTGTAATTTTCTGAGCCTTAGAGCACGTCAGTGATTAATTTTCGTGAGTAGCAACAGAGCTGGGCGGAAACATCCTGTAGCTGGAATGTACTTTAGGTAAATTAACATCAGTGGATGCTGACTCCAGACACAACACAGATGACAAACACAAAGTTATTGAACTTTCACACTTCGAAAAGAGCACTTACTCCTGGCTGGTGGCTCTCCAAGCATTCCTGCCTCTTCTTTGGCAAACAGCGTGGGACGGTGTTGTCCAACCTGGTGTTTCAGGCACGTCCCGCAAAGTCAGTGATAGGTGTTTCGTTTTCCTGGTGGAGGATGTTAGGGTGTAGCAAGATAAGATCCTTTCTACTCTTTGCTTGCAAAAGAGACTTCAGAAGGGCTACTTCATGTTTCCAAATTGCAGGGGCTCGTTGCAATTTTGGTTTGAAATCAAACTTTGTTCGATAGTTCCTATTTATATTTAGTGCTGTCTAAGCATACACTTTTCTATATGTAGGGCTTAAGAGCAGCATTATTCTTATAAAGCTGCTTACAAATGTGAAGTGGAATAGGACTTGAATTCTCATGATGCTTTAAAAAAAAAAGCAGGTTTTATAAGCTAAGCCTCATCCTGTTCTTTGCAAGTGCCGCTGCCTTCAGTGTAACCTTGGAGGGAGATCTGAAATCCGGAGAGCTGTTCCATGGATGTGAGTCTGGGTGGTATTTCAGGAAGGCAAAGGGTTTATTAGCAGTACTTTGGGTTCTCCCAGTTGTTTGCAGGACACACTGCCTGGAGCAAGGTTTAAAGGTGGGCTGGTGATGGAGCCTCAGGGTAGAGCCGGGTCAGCCTTTGAAATCTTTCACGTTCACCACATTTTCCACGTGCACCATGTCTGTAGATGCTGTTTGTGTGTTACTCATACCCTTTTGTTCTTCAGAGAGGGATCCAGAAGCTGAAACCATCTCCTAGCTACAGTTAAGGGCTGTTCTGCCTGCTGAGTTTCATGCACAGGAGGTTCTGGGATGAACAAGGGAGTTTTTGTAGGTGCATACAAGGAAGAGGTGTCAGTTCAAAAGCTACTTAGGAGACTGTGGGAAGTGATAAGAAAACCATTTTAGGTAAAACACCAGTTTCCATGGATGTGAGTCTGAGCTGTCAGCTACTCCAGCTGAAAAGCAGCCTCTGAGAGCTTTGGATTTTATTTTTTTTTTCAAAGAAAAATTATCTTTCATTTTCAAAATGACTGGAAATTCCCTATAGGAAGCTCTCAATCATTTTTTTTTTATTTTTTTTTTTTGCCTTGTATACTCCAATAGTGTGTGTAGGTAAATACATTCAAGTATTTTTGTGGGGTTTTTTGCCTACGACTTGTTTGCTCTGTTTCCTGTGATGGTGCTTTGGTGGTTTCAAGTTTATTCCATTCTCTGTAACCCTGTGGTGGTTCCTCAGTTAGTGGATTAATCAGATTTTTGTCTGTGTGTGAAGGACTCTGCTGCAGGGAATATGTTTCCTCGCAAAAGTAACCTTCAAATGAAGATTCTGTGGTGAAACCTAGTTATTTTAAACATTTGTTACACTTGTATTTCTTGCTTTTGTACTTATTATTTCACCTCTGGGCAAGGTATGTATTTCCCGGGTATTTAAACTCAAAGGTAGTGGCCTGTTATGGAAACATTTTTATATTGTTTACATTTCTGAAAAAAAGACAAGTTTGTGAACTTTGGCTGCTGTTCAAGTGTAATATTTGGCCCAATGGGCCAGTGAAGTCCATTCACACCCTGCAAGGAGAGACTGGCTCAGGTTTGTCCCCTGCCCTGCCCAGACTGGGTTGGATCCAAACTGGATCTCCCAGTGAACTGGAGCCATCAGATGAGGGGCTTTAAAAGAGCTGAAGTGTCTTGTCCACTCCAGCCTCTCATCATTCCCACCCTGGGGGCTCCTCGTTGCCTCTGATCCATGAGATGTGTAAAATAAAGAGCTGTTGATGGGTCTTACTCCATTTCCTTCCTTCACTCAAAGTCGTGGGGTCTTGTTCTAACTCCAGTATACCTGGAGTTAACAAGAGTGAGGAGCAGGAATGTTCTTTCTCTGAAACACACTGTCCTTGGTGGTGGCATTGCACCAAAGCCTTGGACAAGATGTTGCAGCAAAGGTGAAATTCAAACCTAGGGCATTTTGAACGCAGGTTGTTTTTTCCCCCCCTGTCCAAAGTTTCTGACTTCATTTAGGAGCAGCCATTTAAGCAACTTAAATTCTTTAAAATCTGAAATAAACAGTGTTGCAATAGGGGATGGTCTGGAGGTAACTGGTGATAATCAGGGAATGTCATTAAATGTGTCTGTCCTGTTTGGAATTCTGGTTTTCAGCCTGTGACCAATGATCCATATTTTTTTTTTCCATGTCTTTTCCATTAACCTCTGTTGTAACTATGTTACAGTCTTTTCTGTGTTAAACCAACTTGATGTGATACAAAATGTCTTACCTTTTGCTACCAGTTCGAAGTTTCACTTCTGGGCAGAGACTTCCCTCATGACACTTGAGCACTGTACCTGTTAAATTACCTGTTCAGGAAAAAAAAAAAAAAAGGAAAAAAAAAGTTGTTAAGAATATTTTTTCAAATATTGTAAGTTGTGGATGATGCCTACTTTAATAAAATCCTATGCAGATGTATCCTTGGTTTGTTATCCTTGCTCAGAGCAGGTAAGAGCAGTGATAAAGGATCCTGATCAATGAAGGATCCTGGTCAGTGCTGAAGCCTTTTATGAGCCAGGTTGGGGCAATTCCAAGCACAGGCACAGGCTTGGAGGAGCATGGATTGAGGAAAAACCCTGGGGAGAAGAACTGGGGGGTGCTGGTGGGTGAGAGGCTAGACATGCCCCACCATGGGCACTCCCAGCCCAGAAACCCCCTGTGTCCTGGGCTCATCCCACAGCGTGGGCAGCAGGGGAGGGGGGAATTCTGCCCCTCTGCCCCCTCAGGTGAGACCCCCCCTGCAGAGCTGCCTCCAGCCCTGGGGAACAACAGCACAAGGATGTGGAGCTGCTGGAGAGAGTCCAGAGGAACCCACAGAGATGCTCTGAGGGCTGGAGCCCCTCTGCTCTGGATCAGGCTGGGAGAGCTGGGGGTGTTCACCTGGAGTAGAGAAGGCTCCAGGGAGACCTTGGACCTTCCAGTACCTAAAGGGGCTCCAGGAGAGCTGGAGAAGGACTTTGGACAAAGGCCTGGAGGGACAGGATGCAGGGAATGGCTTCCCACTGCCAGAGGGCAGGGATAGGTTAGATATTGGGGAGAAATTGTTGTCTGTGAGGGTGGTGAGGCCCTGGCACAGGTTGCCCAGAGCAGCTGTGGCTGCTCCATCCCTGGAAGCGTCCAAGGCCAGGTTGGACAGGGCTTGGAGCAACCTGGTCCGGTGAGTGGCATCCCTTCCCATGGCAGGGGCTGGAGATGATCTTTAAGGTCCCTTCCATCCCAAACCATTCTGAGATTCTTTGGTTAACTTTGCTCTGACTATCCCAGTTGCTCAGCAGAGCCACTCGCAGGGAGACACAGCGTGGATACCCCTCAGTCTCCAGTGAGCCACGAGGCTGTGCTTGCAGGTGGCAACCATCCAAGAAATGATGGCTTTTAACTATTCCTCTGTCTCTGCTACATTTCTCAGGGTGAGCAGCCTTTTGGTCCTTCCTCAGTCGTGTGTCTGTCTCTCTTTACAGCTTGAAATAGAAAGAAAAGAGCAAGAGCGTTCTGAGGGAGGAGCTTTGAAAGCACACCCCAAGAACTGAAGATTGCTGGGTCCTCGTTTCTGCAGGTCTTGTCTCCACCTGTTGCACAACCAGCAGGGTTGGTCAGCAGAAGCTGGTGCAGTGAGAACGAGCGGACTCACCCTGACTCATTAATCCGTGGAGAAACCTTCCCTTCAGGTTAAACAGGGCCTTTCCCTCCTCCTACACCTCCACTTTCTAATGATGGGAACCTCTTGTGGAGAAAACATTCCTCTTGACCACATTTGATGACTAATGTGACTATCCTGCTGTGGAGGGTGTTGCGGCTTTGCCCTCTTCCCGCCTACCTCCCTTCGATTTGGCTCCTGTCGAGTCCTGCTTGACACAGGCCCAGTCTGGCTTCCAGAAATGCCACAGGTGATCATAAGATCCAAAGATTCTACAGCTGGAGACAGGCTGGGAGAGCTGGGGATGTTCAGCCTGGAAAGGAGAAGGCTCCAGGGAGACCTCAGAGCCCCTTCCAGCACCCAAAGGGGCTCCAAGAGAGCTGGAGGGGGACTTCAGATAAGACCATGCTGACAGAACAAGAGTAATGGTCTTAAATTGAAGGAGGCTGGGTTTAGATTGGATATTAAGAAAATATTCTTTACTATGAGGGTGGTGAGGCCCTGGCACAGCTTGCCCAGAGAAGCTGTGGCTGCCCCATCCCTGGAAGTGTCCAAGACCAGGCTGGATGGTGTTTTGAGCTGATTTCTGCTCTTGGCTGCTTAAGACATAAGAGAAGTGCAGAGGAGGTGGAACCTTCTTTTCTCAGTGAAAAGGTTGTGAGGAGTGTGGGTGATGAACTTTATGACTTTGGAAAACACCTCCTTTTGCTCCTCAGGATGGAGTCAGGCTCTAACACACTGTTGTTGGCAGCTCCTCATTCCTCCAGGGAAGCGAAGCTGAGCCCAGGGAGGTGAAAAGAGGAGAGCCCCAGGGTCAGCCAGAGGGCAAGAATGTGGCTCCAGGGCCTGGGGTACCCAGTTTGCAACCCCCCCTCACCACTCTCCTTGTTTCAGACTGGGTTGGTGTCTTCCCTGACACCCTCCAGGCAGGATGTTTCTATTTTAGGTGACCATCAGCTGGCATTTGCCCTTCCCCTGGAGGCTCAGGCCAGACAAATGCTCTGTGGGCTATTTTTGGCTTCATACCATAATTGTATGTGATCCTAAATTCCCTGTGGATCTGAGTGCCTGAGGGGCTGTGCAGGGAGAGGAAGGGGCAGCGTCTGGAATAAACCCAGGGATTTAAGGATGACCGAGACTCCACAGAGCAGTAAGAGAGTTGGCACTCACAGCTGCAGGGACAGGATTAAAAAGACATTTATGCTTCAGCAGCACTATTATGGAACTTAAATCCAGAGTGAGAGTTGCTCAATCAGGGAAAAAAGTTGCTTCCTGCCCTGATTCTGCAGTTGGGATCAGTTTAGGATGTTTTCCTGCCCCTGATATTGCAATTGGGAGCAGTTTAGGATGTTCTCCTGCCCCAATTCTGCAGTAGGGATCAGTTTAGGATGTTTTCCTGCCCCTGATATTGCAATTGGGAGCAGTTTAGGGTGTTTTCCTTCCCCTAATACTGCAATTGGGAGCAGTTTAGGATGTTTTCCTTCAAACTGGCTGTGGCTATCTGTGCAATTTTGAGGACTCAAGCCCACAGTTTGAGAAAACTGACTTCCAGTTTAGCACTGGAGTGGTTTCCCAGTACAACCACCACTCACCCTGACCCAGGGGTTGGTTGCTTCTATGCATTTGATACCTTCCAGTGGTTTTATTTTCTGTAATCCTTTGTGCAGCCTCCTGAAGTTCCTGAGAAGGTGCATTGCACAGGTTAGCGTTCAGTTTTGAGGGAATTTAAACCTTTGGACAAAAACTATAAAGAGCTGAGTGCCATCTGCACAGTCCTCTGCCTTTTCCCCCATCTCAGATGGGTACCAACAGTAGAAAAGGTCTTAAGTGCAGGATAACATTTCTTCTGACCTCAAGCAGAGCTCTGGTCTTTCAGCCTGGAGAAGACTCCAGACCTTAGAGCCCCTTCCAGTGCCTAAAGGGGCTCCAAGAGAGATGAAGAGGGACTTTGGACAAAGGGCCTGGAGGGACAGCACAAGGGGGAATGGCCTTAAGCTGAAGGAGGGTAGATTTGGATTAGATATTGGGAAGGAATTGTTGTCTGTGAGGGTGGTGAGGCCCTGGCACAGGTTGCCCAGAGAAGCTGGGGCTGCCCAATCCCTGGAAGTGTTCAAGGCCTGATTGGAGCAACGAGGGATAGTGGAAGGTGTCCCTGCCAATAGCAGGGGGGTGGAACGAGATGAGCTTTGAGGTGCTTTCCAACCCAAACCATTCCCTGATTCTATGGTATTTTGCAAAGCCTAGTCCTACAGACAATTCCATATTTCCATTCTGCTTCCCTCACCCTTTGGCCATTCTGTTTGTGCCACCTCGTTTATCTCTTATCCTTCCAGCGGAGGTGTGAGATTCTCCAGACAGTCTGGGGGCTCAGGAAAATCCTCCTGGGAGCTGCTGCAGGCACTCACTGCTAAATGTATTTCTAGCTCAAAGTGCCAACTTTAAAAAAAGTGGAAAAGTGCTGGTTACAATGACATTTCATGTGGAAAATACATAATTTTCCTGTAAATTACTTTTTTGGAGTGAAGTCAGAAACTTCCCCTATAGAAGTAGAACAAGACATTAATTTTAAGTTTAATTTTTCCAAAGCAGCCTTTTATCTTGCAATGTGCTTCACCTCAGAGGATTTCAGGCAGTGAGAAATTCCACTCCTTTCCCAATCCAAAAGGCATTTCCACAGCACAGAAATGCCAATTTCTTTAGCTACCATGTCCTCCCAGGCTGCTTGATCTCATCTGAGCACCAGGAAAAGCAGGAACCCCTTACAGATGTCAATGCTTGAAGGTCTTCTTATTTTTCGTACTTTGTGGTCACTTTGGTCTTTAAATACAGAGTGATCCCCATGTCAGATCCAGGCTGTAAAGACTTTTCTGTCACAGAGTTTTAAAGTCGTGACAGGAGGTGGATATGGACATATGGAAGAAGAATGTGGGCTTGGAGTCGTGGTTGGAGGCAGACAGACCTGGATGAAGACAGCTCTGTACATCTCCTCAGCTCTTCAGAAGATGAATATAAAGCTGAATGGAAAATGACTACAGGAGGGGTTATTTCTTAGGTGGAAATAACCTTAGGTTTCTCTGCCAAAATTTCCCAGAGGAGAAAATGTGACCCTTCATGTGGGTGAGCTCCCAGCCTGTGCAGTGGTTGTGGATGTCCTTGGATCCATGGCTTTGTTTTCCACTGTCCTGAGGGGAAAAGCAGCTGAGAGTCCAAATCCCTGTCAGTTTGGGAGTGAGGTTTAGGGCAGGAAGGGATTTAGGGATGGGGAGGAACAGCACAGCTTTACCCAGATTACAGCTGTTGCCTGTTCTCCTTATTTATCTCCCAAGCTCATCCCTGGGAATAGGTCAGGGATTAGCCCAGGGCAAGAACCACATCCAGCAGGCAACTGGGAGGCAGGGATCCTATTCTGGATGGAAAATTAATTCAATATCTCGTTACAGCCAGACTGTGCCAGCCAGGGTGGACCCAGGCTCCAGGTTAACCCTAATCCTGACACCAACAGGCTTGGCCATCTCCAGCCTGTCCTTTTCACCAAATTTCTGGGACTTGGACACCCAGGGGCACTTGGGAAGAAGCATGAGGAGGCTCTTGGATATCTTCCCATAATCAAGTGATATGTCCCCTGTCCCTCACCAACCCAACAAGTGTGTCCTCCACCTTGCTGCTGGTTGCTCAGCACATCCCTGCCTTTGTTCTTTGTCAGGGGAGAAGGCAGGAACCATGTTCCTGGCAGGACAAACCCATGCCCAGGAATTTCCCTCCTGCAAGGAGGTCACAGCGTGTT